GCAATTTTTTGGAGACGTAACACGTCCTTACTTTTGGAAGAACGGCGGAATGGGGAAAAGCTAAATTCAAAATCTGCAATGACTATGGTTCCTTAAAGTACAGACTTCACCCTTTAAAATGAAAAAAAAACTTTCAGATATGACAATTTTTCGCGGAGTTATGCTTATTTGAAGTTGGGCAAATTTTTTACGTAAATTTTTGTTGCGATAATTTTGTTGCCCAGTTTATTATCTTTATTATTCTATTTTTGTCATATATTTCATATTATCTTTATATTCATTTTGATTGCTTTTTAATTACAATCAAATTGATAGAATATGATAGATACACTTCCATCTTTCTATTTTACATGCGCACGTATATGCGTATGCATTATATCTATATATTTATTTATAATTGACAGATAAAGCCAGGCGATCATCTTTTAATCACTGGACCCAATGGCTGCGGTAAAAGCTCTCTCTTTCGTGTTATTTCCGGTCTTTGGCCCGTTTATGATGGAACTCTCATCAGACCAGCCGAAATAAATTCTTCCGAACATGGCAGGCCTGCCCTATTTTACATCCCACAAAAGCCGTATATGACAGTGGGCTGCCTACGAGATCAAATCATCTATCCAGCGCATTCTGGGTCCATATATATATTTAATAATTAATCACATTAGAGATAACCAAAATAGATTTAAATTAAACTATTACATTTAATTAAATTATAATTCAAGTTATATAATTAATTAAATTACAATTAATTAATTTTTATAGTAAATTTTATAATATATTTTAAGTATAATTATTAATGGTAATTATGCAGTTTAGAGGAAGCACCTCTGATGACCTTGACCTTGACATATGTTGTCAAGGTCATCCTCCTGAGTGACCTTCAGAAGGTTTTAGCCGTCGCTCGTTTTTTATTAAAAAGTTATAAACAAAAAAAGTATCGAAAATATAGCAGTTATTTTAAGTACTGAGAGGCATAAACGACTAATATTACGTTTTTCTTTAAAGCAGAGAATACTTTATTTCGCGAGAAAGTCGCTGCTTTACCAAAACACAACATTTAAAGCAGTAAATTGTTGATAAATTGAAGTCTTTTTGTTAAAGCAGAGAATACTTTATTTTGCGAAAAAGTCGCTGCTTTACCAAAACACAACATTTAAACCAGTAAATTGTTGATAAATTGAAGTCTTTTTGTTAAAGCAGAAAATACTTTATTTTGCGAAAAAATCGCTGCTTTACCAAAACACAACATTTAAAGCAGTAAATCGTTGATCACTAACCTAATATATGCACCTATATATGCTATATTTTTCAAACTTTTTTTGTTAATAACTTTTTAACGAATAGCGAGCGACGGCTAAAACCTTCTGAAGGTCACTCGGGGTCATGACCTTGACAACATATATCAAGGTCATTGAAATCGGTGTGAGGTCGCCAAACTTTTTAACTTTTTAATAAAAAACGAGCGACGGCTAAAACCTTCTGAAGGTCACTCAGGAGGGTGACCTTGACAACATATGTCAAGGTCAAGGTCATCGGAGGTGCTTCCCCTAAACTGCATAATTACCTTATTAATTTTTTATAAAATTTTATACACGCGATTCAATTTTTTTATTAATATATGAAGAAAAATGTTATACATTGTCTTTATGTTGTTGCAGGTCAGAGAATTGCTCGGATGAAGAGCTGTTACAATTGTTAGATGATGTCGACCTACGAAGTATCGTGGAACGAGAACCGGAAGGTTTCGATACTCTCGGCGACTGGGACTCTACTCTATCAGGAGGCGAGAAGCAACGGCTCGCAATGACGCGTCTTCTCTATCATGCTCCACAGTATGCTTTGTTAGACGAATGCACAAGCGCTGTCAGCCTCGAAGCTGAAGGAATAATATACGAAACTGCAAAGAAAAAAGGAATCACCCTGTTAACGATCACTCATCGAGTAGCATCGCTCGCTAAATATCACAAGTTATTATTGAAATTCGATGGAGAAGGCGGTTGGACCTTTGGCCCGCTGAATATGGATGGATTACCGATATTACCAAATCGAGAAGCTAATAAGGAAGAAGCTGAACGAGAGAAAGCAAAGATTAGCCATTACCATATGTTGCATGTATGTTAAATGTTTTCTTCTGTATAAATGGTGCCTTAAGAATTTATATTCTAAGTTTTTAAATTTTATGTTTATGAAAAGATTATAAAATACAGATTTACATCAGTTTTTTTAATTAAAAATTTTTTTTTAAAGAGTGGTGACCAATTTTGCCCATTTTTTGGACCTCGAATTCAAGCTCAAATTTCAAACTTTTTATGCCAATTAGTACTATATGATGGGACATTAATCCCAGAGAAATTTATATAGTACTAATTGGCATAAAAAAAGTTTGAAATTTGAGGTCCAAAGAATGGGCGAAAAAACAGGTCTTTTTGCCATCATTCTTTAATATTATTTTATAACACAATATTATGTGATCTCTAATTTTTAATTAATTTACACGACATGAAATTTTCTACTAAAAGTAGCATAAAACATTAATGTTCTAATGTTTACATCTAATTTACAAAAAATTTTAAATGCTTTCTTATACGGCTTCTAATATTTTTAATACATAATACAAGTTTCTTATAATTTGATATAATATAAATTTATATATTTCTTGATTCAATAATATAATTTCATATAATTACAATTATATACACAAACACATTATTTTTTCAATAAAATAAAAACATGTGAAGGCTTTGAATAAATCAAATAATAACGTTAAAAAATTGGCAATAAGAGCTAGGCGCAGTAATTAATGCGCGTATATAATTTATTACAATAGACAAATTAAATAGGATTAGCATACGTTTCAACTTTTTCTTTGGGTTTTATCCTCAGCGCAACATTAATAAATTGTAATTCAAATTAAATCGGTCGGAATTTAATGCAGTCAAACCGTTTTAATTATTTAACTGCGTTAAACTCCGATCGATGTAATTTGAATTACAATTTATTAATGTTATGCACCCTGAAGATGGCCCAAAGAAAAGGTCGAAACGTATGCTGATCCTATTTAATTTGTCTATTATAATAAGTTATATATACGCGTACTAATTACTGCGCCTGGCTTTTATTACCAAATTTTTGACGTAGAAGTACGTCTTTGTCGACAGTAAGTAGGGGGTAACATTGGAAGCACAGATGCAACGAAAACATGTCACACTTGAACGTTTATATCTTCGAAATAATCGTAATGATTAATATGTCATTAGATAGCTTATATATAGTCTCAATTCCTCTTTAAAATTTCAAAAGTTTCAAAAAGCTTCCTAAATGAGGAAGCCAAACAATTATAAGCAAATAATTATGCTCAGGTCTCAACATCTTTCAATTTTGGCAATTTAATATTAATTATTGGCAACTTTTCTAATTTCATTATATTCTTCAACCTTTTCTACCCCTATTTCTTATAGAATGCTTTAAGATTTGGTCGATTAGACTCAGCTTTATTAGGTTTCTATGTATGTACGTATTTCTAACAAATTCTAACGTATGTAACTCAAGAACTAATCAATCAAATTTTAAAGAATTATATATGAAATAGGGGTAGAAAAGACTGAAGAATATAATAGAATTAGAAAAAATTGCCAATATAATAAAAAAAAAGTATGCAAATTAGAAATTTGCACATCTTTGTAACATTATTTTTTATTTAATTACATATTTTTTATTATTTTTAATATACATTTGCTATTTCTTTTTTAGGAGCTACGTGATATACATCCTGAAAATACCTATGTGGGAATTAGTTGAAAAGTACAGTCTATGGAATTTTATATTACAAATGGAATAAAAAATACAAAAATAATATAGTATAAAAAGATATGAATATAGAATACGAAAAAATATATAAATAATATACCTATTCTATATCTTTTTCACATATATTATACGTATATCGTATTCTATCTTCCATATCGTATATAGAATATTGACATAAATATGAAAAATGATAAATTATTATGGTGAGTGGATATATAAGAATGTACATATATTTTTAGAATTTTGCATTGTAAAAAGGTATTTTTTCTACTTTTAAAATGATTGAGAGCGCGATATATCACATTTTTTAAAGCGTTTTATAAAATATACATTATAATTGTAAAAAAAGACTTATTGAACAACGATTGCTTTTATAGATTGTCTTTTTCAATCTACAATCACATTTAAGATGGTCAATTAATAAATATAAAACATAAATATGCGAAGTATGTGGTGAAATGAGATAAGATACTATTTTTGCCAAAATAAAAAAATTTGTTAACGTTTTGAAAAAGATTTATTGGAATATATAAATTTGTTAAGTGTTACAGTGCACATTGATCTGCGATTGAATTACTACTCAATTTTAATAAAGGTTTAGAGAATAAAATTATGTATTAAGAATAAATTTATATAAATATTGTAAACAATAAAATATTATGAATTTCTTCTTTAACTTCTTCTTATCTTTCCGATTTATCCAATTTCTTATGTGTTTTTCTGATAAACTAATAATTTTTTTCCATTTTGATAAATAAATTATGTGTCAAACAAATAAAATTGTTCCTTATTCCTATATTTATACGATATTATAACACATGTTCAAAACATTTAAAATTTGTATTACAAATCTGTAAAATTTTGTATTAAATATTTAATTAAAAAATCAAGTTTAATAAAAAATATCTGTTCAAATATTATTAATTTACCGAAATATTCGATATTTTTGTAATGTAACTCAAATTCAATTTGTATAATATAATTACATTATATCTATAATACTTTCATTCATATTATAATAATATAATGATATTACTAAAAATGTACTATAATAATATAGATAGTAATCAAGAATAATAATTAAATTATTTTACTTGTATAAAACGCGGCTAAAAATTAATTCTCACCTGAGGACCTATTATGGACTTGTTCGGAATGGATTCCGATCAGAATTGTTCAGTTATTTCCTAGATTTCTATTGTCTTTTCTAGGAAAAACGGAATAATTCCGATCGGAATCCATTCCGAACAAGTCCATAATAGATCCCCTGCTTTCAATATGTATGATTATTATTCAAAGGAATCAAGAAAAAAACAGTTGAAAGAATTTCTTTTTTACCTTGTTCGAATGTAAGTATGAAGAATCTTTCTTCTATGTCTGCTGTGCAGCTGCTACGTACGTAGCTGCCATGCAATCGTAACATTCGTAAGGGCCTACGCACAAGGATTGTCGTAATCGTTTACGACTCTGTCGTAAGTCCATTGTGTCGCACACGCGACGGATACGACATGCGCTAACGTCAATCCTTGTGCGTTGACTTCCGACACCTACTTATGACTTACGACAGAGTCATAAACGGTTACGACAATCTTTGTGCTCTGGCCCTTACGCTGCGGTAATGGCTCGTGCATTAATTTATGCTCGGGCAAAAATTTAATTACGTATGTTTCTTTGTTTTAAAGGCACTCGCAGGGGTGACAAGGCGAGTGGTGGCGAGGGTGAGGACGTGGGAGGTGGCAGCAGTGGCAGGGGTGGGAAGACCCGCAATTCCCGATGAGCTTACATCCAGGAAACCTCGCAAACGCCAAACGTCGATACGCCAACTCTCGAGCCAGCGGCAGCCATCTTGGGGGATTGCTGCTTGCGTTCCTCCTCTCTCGCGAACTCTTGATACTTCAAAGCAATTTCGACGTCGCCGAACTGACGCCGAGTAAACTCAACGATGATGATTGTTAAACAAAAAATTAAGATTTGTTAACAAAAAACTTATTCCAAATCGTCCCAAATCATAATATCATTATCTAAAAAAAAAGAGATTACATAGTATATATTTTCAAAACTTTTAATATATAACTTTGTGATGCACAACCTTAATTTCATCAAATCACATTGATTTATATGTGAAGTTTTTAAAACTATAATATATTAGTTAAAACTATATATTAAAAAATAAGATATGCTGAGATATGTGTAATTTATAAATAATTTAATTCAATAAATCTAATTGTGTGCAGCAATAAAGAATTCGGGACAAAATATTTTAATTATTATATAAACTACAAATTTTTACAAACTTATTGTTAGTAATAAATTACTCTTCTACGGTGTTAATATTTGTTGCTATATTGCTATATAAATATGATCTCTATTTCCGAATAAAGAACAAGCATAGGTATATTCATCAAGTTTCAAACAAATACAATCTCCGGTAAAAAATTTTTTATATATAATATATATATATATATATATATATAAAATATGATTATATATAGAATATCGTATAATCTAATCACAATTTTACTTTTTTGTAAAAAAAAACAATGCAAAAGTTATTTTTCTTATTATTTTTCCCATGTATACAGACAGAGATTATACAAGAGAAAGAATTAGCACATATAGACATATATTTTATATGTAATTATCACATAGGTATTTACATAAATCTCAAATAAAAAAATTTTTATCAGGGATTTTTTTATTGAAAGCATTATGTAAATGTTACTTAAGTGACGACTAGTTTCTGAAAAAAATCTTAAATAGAGAAATCTGTACTTAGATCAGAAGCATTTCGCTGAAACACCCCGCATAAATCAGCTATTTTAATCGCAATTGAGTGATTAAACTGCGTCGGGGGATGACAGCTACGGCGGTAATCGTCCGTAATTAAAGATCCAGTCTGACAAGATAGCAGCTATCTTGTCCCGGCAAAGCGATTGTAGATTATCCCCGCACGATCATGATAAACGTTTTGATCACGGTTACTTAATTAAGTCTGCGGCTTAAGTACGCAATGGGAACAATCCATTCTTTTATAGCGAGATATCACGTACAATTATACGAAGCGTATGTCATCACGCTATTTTTAGCAAAATAGTGAAACGATCAAAAACATCTTATTGAATATATTGATATAAAAATACTTATTCGTCTTTTTCTTGCCAGCGTAAAACATTCCTTATTCTTGATATCAACCATTCCTATCTGCCATAAAAGTAGTCTAACTATAAAAAATATTTTGTATACTGCATCTATATTATAACTGCATAAATTTATGTCAATTGGAGAGTTATGTATAGGAAGAACGAGAAAAATAAAAGTTTGTTCTTTTATTTCCTTTTGCTTCCTCATAGAGGAAGCTTTGTGATGGTGAAAAAATTTTTTTTCGAGATTTTGATGGAAATAATAGGTTTAAAATGTTCTAAAATGTCGAAAAATCGTATTAGTAAAAAATGTCCGGAAGTATGTATGTATGTGTGTGTGTATGTACGGATTTTTTGTACACGCATCTACTTTTACAATTTTTTAGATACCGGGTTGAAATTTTTCACACAAATAGAGTATCATAGAAAGTATGTTCTCCTCAAATTTTATTAAAATCGGTTGACCGGTATAGATTTTATTGGAATTTTTTTTATAGAAAAGTGTGTTTTATCGGTTTTATTCTATAGCTTTCTCAATATTTGAGATAACAATCTATATCTAATTCTATTAAATTTTTCAATTTTTTCTACCCCTATTTCATATATAATTAATTAAGATTTGGTTAATTAGTTCTGGAGTTACAGACGTTTGAAATTTCGGAGATTTTAATCGCGTATAAAGCTAAGTCTAATCAACCAAATTTAAAAGAATTATAATGAAATAGGGGTAGAAAAGACTGAAAAATATAATAAAATTAGAAGATCGATATCTCCAAATTTGCGGAAGTTAAAGCTTCCTCTATGAGGAAGCCAAGTGCAAATTTCTAATTTGCACAATTCTTTATATTGTAATTGGTCAATGCAATAAAACAAGTATACGTTTCACGCTGCCTGTTACTTTAGTTATGAAATAAATCCATTTTTCTTAACAACAGAGAATTTTTCTTTTCCTATATAATATTATTTTCATATTTCATTAATGTATGTATTTTAACAATCTTGTATATGGATTTTCAGCACGATTATTTATCAGAGCCTTATGTTGCAAGGAATAGAAATAAAGATTTCATTATTTTCGCAATATTACTGAATGTTATATTAGTACTTAATATTACTTACAAAATAAATATTTTTTTTATATTTAAATTGTATTATTAATAAGTGCAAATTTTTGAACGCGTCTTTAGTTCTCAAATCAATGAAGATCGCCTTTTATCACTTCTTGGATCTCGATGAGATAAAATTGTTAGTTTTGTTAGGTACTTAGGTGTAATATCGGCTTATAAACATAATCGCATACGAACAAGCGTGCACGAGCCGCGCGTAGCCGGCTGGCACGCGCCACATGTAATTCAATCGGTTATTCGAACGAACCGTCTATGGTGGATGGGGAAAGGTGGACAGTGGGCATATCCTAATCCCGAGGAAACGGTTACGGCATGTATAATCATCTTGACGGCGCTTCCCTGCCTTATTTTCTTAGCTGGCTCCTCGTGGGCAGATGCGCCGTTCGGTTATAGCTTCTTCGTCACCAACTCTTTTTCCGAAATAAGAAACTCGAAACACGTTATTTCTGGCATGTATAACACGGCTCAACAAAGGTTAAAAAAAGAATAATCATTCTTTGGTAATTCGTTTAACGTTTGATGCTTTTTTTTCTCTGAAATGTCCAAATATGTCACAGTTTTGAGTTTAAAGTTATAAGAAAGAGCTGTTTTAATATAATTCTCTGGGAAAAAATTTTTCATACATGATTATATATGAAGAAGTTACTTTTTGTTTAATTTCATAATAGAAAAGAATATTACAAAAAAGAAACGGTACTAGCTTGAGATAAAAAAAATAAAAAATAAAATGTTTAATATAATTAATCAGTAACTATAGAAAACAGAAATATATTCAGCATTAAGAAATTATGGAAAATAATTTCTTGCTTTCTCTCAAAAGTTCTAAAAAAAAAAAATTAATTTTTGCTGAATATTGTAATCATCAGCGTCATATAATTGTATTAAGCAATAGAAATTTATTTTTAACAACTCAGATATATAAATTGCAAATGTTAGAAGTTCTATGTTGTATCTATGTTTGCATGTAACCAGAAGATTTTAATCCTCCTGCATTCAAACTCCTTGCACACAAATAGTGCGTACGCACGTGGTCATCATGTAAAGAACGCGTGTGCGGGGGTCAAAAGAATGATTGAGTTCACGTGCGTGTTTACATAATTTGTAATGGTATATACTTAATCTCTTCTTTGATTTTGGTCGCGGGCAAACACAGGTGCGTCAAAAAACCCCGTATCGTACCTGCCGTCGCTTCCATTCGTTGCTATGATTCTACGGATTCCCGATTCGAATAGGGAGTGAAAAAAGGCAAGAAGGGTGACTGAATAGTCGCTCCAAAGCAAGTTTAAAGAAAGAACTTGCAAACTCTAGTTTCAATAAAGTGTTTCAATAAAATTAGTCACGGAAGGTCTAACAAATTTTTAAATTACTAATTTTCTAATTAAGATAAAAAATAGTTTTTAAAGATGATTTCTATAAATTATTTTCGTTGATATTGCTTTAATTGTTTAAAAAAAATTTTCAACTTTTTGAATTTGTTTTTACTTAATGCATATTAAAGTTTATTAGTATTTAAGTTCATTAAAGTTTATTAGTATTTTTCGTAATTCTTTCTAATCTAATAGTTTAATTTTTTTTTATTTTAGCTTATAATAATTCTAATAATACAATTTAAATTATAATAAATCATTTTTTCTAATTTAATCTTTAAATCATCATTTAATTCTTCTAAATTTAATTCATTTAATCTTTTGTAGCAAAAAATAAATAAAATAATTAAACATATAATTAAGTGTAAAATCTCTCTGATCTTTTTTTACAACTTTCTTAATTTTCTAAAATTTTTAAAAAACTTTTAATCACCTTTCTTTACTTACTTTAGTGCTTAACTCTGAACTATTTAATATAATTATCACTAATTTGATTTATTGTTGAGATCCAAAGAAAAAGAGAATATCTTTTACGAGGCTCAACATAAATACCGTAGACCTAATCGATTGGAAGTGTAAGTCAATACCAGGTTGTACACACGACGTGTCATGAGTTCTGGATCCATGTATGTGATCCGCTCTTTCCCCCTTTCTTTCTCTTTATTTTTTCTGCTTATGTGTTAATTATGCATTTACAATGACATAATTTACATAGACTATTTTAACATTTGTTGTAATATAAAATGAACAAAAATTTAAATTATTTTTTGTATATATCTTCTATCTTATGCCATATATACTATCTTTATAAGAAATGCAATGCTCAAAATTTTTTTTTAAATACACGATTTATATTAAGTAAATTAAATATAAAAATATGCTTTCTTGTTATTTACTTACATGCATAAAAAACTAATAAAAAACATATATTTCTTGGACTCCCTCTTTTAATTACTAATTATTTAAAACCTATTATTCTCTAAATATATTAAGAAAAGAAAATTAACTCCGTATTATTCAGAAAGTCTTTCATTAAACGTACGGGATACTTTATATATATATATCAAAAAATTTCGGACGAGCGGAAAACATGATCTTTGCTCTCACTGGCACCCTCACGCTGATACGATGACACACAACATGGTGATGACGGTGTGCCGTGATCGTGCGGTTGACTTCCTCTTCCTGTGTCCGCATATCGAAACTACGCAGTCAGATGTTCCGTCTATACTCGCCATTCGGTACTTAGGATTATGATGAGACAAGATAATCGAATATACGCTTATAGGATAACATACTTTAATGAGAATACAAAGTAATAAAAAATTTGAGATACTTACAATATTCTTATATACACTTCAATTATTGAATTTATTTAAATTAATTTTTTCTACATTTATTTCATAAAAATTATACCCCCTCCCCCATCCCATACAAGAACATATTTCATTGTAACAAGAGAAAAATATGTTAAATAATATATATTAAACAGGTATTATCCTGATGATAATTAATAATGTAATAATAATATAATAAAACAACAAAATAATATATAAGAGAGAATGTTATATCTTATTTATATTATGTTTAAATTGATAGATATACACAGTAAAAAATAAAACATAATTATAACATTTTTTACATATCCCAAAAAGTCCACTCTAAATTTTAAGTTAAAATGATTCATTCATCGTGTTACTTGTTGACAAATTAGAAATATTAATTAATTGACACTATACTTTACATTTATATTTGTTCTTTTGACTTTATTTTTCAAATTATATTAACACATGATATTAATTATTTTACTTGAATTATGTGTAATAGAAACATTTAATTTTAGTAAATGTAATTATTGTGTATGTCAAAGTTTACGATTATTTAAAAATTTACTTTAACTTTTGTTTATGTGTTAAAATAACTTTAAGACGTGTTGATTTTTTAAAATAATTGTGTTAAAAGAACTCAAAATAATATTTAATTTCTAAATGACATACATAAAGTGTTACATTATCACGTTGACATAAATGTAACACATGAAAATGTTAAGAAAATAAGAACATAACTGTTGTATGTTAATTTTACATTAAAATAATAATAAAATCTTGGGTAACACAAGAAAATTTTAACATATGGATCGCTATGTATATACATATGATTTTTTACTGTGTAATATTATCCCTAAATTCATATTCAAGGTGATGTAACGTCGAATTGTTGTTGAAGTAACAAATCTTTCAGGAAAGTGACGCAGGATCTTTGCATGCCGAGGAGAACCCACGGTCGAGTTCACCGTTGACTGGTCAATATCCGCGAAAAGGAAGGCATTACAAGCCGGTGATCTCGAGAAGGGTATCGAAGAGCAGGACCACCGTGATCGGCGCGCGGTAATGGTATCTAGAGAAAATATAATACCTCCCTTCCATCCAGCCAACTAAGATATATATAATATGTCATATGTATAGCCGAAGAAGATCGTCGATGATCGCCGAACGAGCGATTAGTATCCCATATTTCTGATGTCATATATAATGCACGTTGTTTGACAGCGGCAACGGCGTGATTAAATATAATTAAAACAATGATCTGCTTGTACTGATGAATATGAGTATAAACATTAATTTCACTTCTAAAATTCTTATTCTACTTACATGAGGCGGATTCGTAAAAAAAGGAGGAAAAAGAAGAAAGAAGGAAATCTTGCCATTTCTGATATTTCATTAGTTCATATTCTCTCATAACGTATGTTTCGTTTTCTTTTCATTTTTTTAATAATTTTAATTTCCAACAACATTCTTAATAATTATTTTCCAATTTTTTTTGTTTTCGACTTTAGAAAAAAAATGATATTTTTTTAACTGCAAGAAAGTACATCATGTTGTTCTGCCACTTTGCACGTCATTTTTACGCAAGTAGAGATACATAAGATCTGACGACAATATGTTAGTACACAGTTTCAGTTGGTGAAAGAAGAAACGAGAAAGAGAAGAAAGGGAGACTAAGACAGAGACACAAGGAGGGAAAAAAGGGATAGAGAGCAGTGGAGTGGGGTCGGATGGTACGTACATAGTCAGTGAGCCGCTTTAAGGGGTGAGAGAGTGGGTGGTGGATAGGTGGTAGATCGCTAGTTAGCCAAGAGACATTGACATGCCATCCCGCCAGCATGGCAGCGTCTCTAAGAGTCGCGCGTCCAAAAGTTGCGTTAAAGTTTAATTACTTAAAATTGAATCGAAAGTACTCTTTAAGACGATTTAAAGTGGCAGATTTTCTACATCTAAATCTTAAAAGTCGTTATCAGTTTGATTAAATAATTTCTTGAAAATAATTTAATAATTTGACTCGTTGGAAAACAATCATAGTTCGAAAATAACTGGAATAGTGAAGTGTCACTAAAAATGCAAAACGTATAAGATTATATGTCCAGGATATCAGATTAAAGCTGACATCAGAAAAATATGAGAGAAATTTAAAAAGTTTGTGAGATAAACAAGTGATAAATCAACATACAATAGAAAAGAAGACCTAACGAATACTCAGAGTCGCATAATATGAAACGCGTAATTAATTTGCTCTATAATTGAAACTATATAAAATACGATCTAAAATATAAGTATTTCAGTTCCTGTCTCTAGATTTTTAATTTTGCGAGAAAATATCGCAAAAATGTGCAGAATATTCACGTAAAGAGAAATATATCACTAAAAGTGAAATATTTTTAGTTAGAAAATGTCAAATTATAACATAATATATAACAAAATTTAAACAATTAAAATGATGGAATGAAAAAATGTGCGTGAGATATCTAATATATAATACACATAAAATGTATAAAAAATTGAAACGTTACGAAATAATAGGATATATTATGAAACGAGAAAATTTGACCAATAAAATTACGGAGATAGTGTGGACTGAAAACTTCGATTGATATAAAGAACTTGTTTTCTTATCATGTGTTGTTAAGTGCATTGTGATCGTTGAAGTGATATGATTCGCCATTCAATTTTGAAGGAACTATCCTAGAGAACGAAAGTATAACTTTGCAGTGAAAAAAAATCGAGATCATACCATTAGCTGTAAGAAGATAAAGATTCTTGGCAAAGGCTACCGAGTATAAAGATCATATAAAAAGATGCAGGCATCGCGGATCTGTGAATGGGAATATCCGACGACAGGTTTTCTGCAGAACCCTCTAACAGGGACCGGCAGGTCTTCCAAGCCATAAAGGTACGTCTATACGCGTGTAGCGAGCCGTATGCACGTGCATTTTCCTTCTTCATTCGGTCATTCATAAAAAGTCATTCATTGATTCATCTGGCCGATCTTTGCAGTCACATCTCGGTCCAGCGTTAGCAATATATTTATCGAGCATAATAAATATTGTACATGACTCATTCATATATAAAAGAATAATTTGATGAAATAAAGTATTCGAAAAATAAAAAAGGTATTGTCCTATACAAAAATGGAAATCTTTTTTCTCATGGAAATTAAAACACATAAATATATCCAATCGGCTACATATATATTTGTGACACTCAATTCTAGAACAAAATATCTAATTTTTTTTTATTATTAAAAAAATTCTAATAATGTTAGAAAAAGAAAAGTTTTCTTCATAAAAATTAAAATATAGTATATATTTGATTCGTTCTGTAACTTTCGGCAAAATTTGAATTTATTATATATATATCGTTAATAGAATTATTGCAAAGTGTGTTATTCTGATTGTAATTTAATTAAACTTTTTACAAAATTTTTACAAAAATAAGACATTGAAACAAAGAAAAGTTTCATATTCGTTTTCTTTTACATTAGTTTTTTTCAGAAGATATCTCAGTTATTAGATCCATAATCCCTTTTCTTATTACGACAAAACTATGACAATTAATTAACATTTTTATTCAAAATCCTAATATCCTTTAGTCGATTATTCATGTTATATAATATATGATAAAAACTCAATAGCGAACACTTTAACTTTTTGTAGATAAATTTATTTAATCTATCTTAACTATATTTTCAAAACAAATCAAAGATTAGAGATATTTCATTTTATTTTATCTTACCTTCCTACATGCATTTTCTCTAATTTTTCTATCCACAAATTTAACGGTCCGACGAAGCTGAATGATTTCGTAATAAACAAAATAAATATTCTCACTTAACAGAAAAGTCAATTTTATCTTGAAAGATAAGTTATTTTTCCGCAGAAAATGCATAATTTCGATTGTATCGATCCACGAACCCTTCTATTTCGCAATATATACTTAATAAAATTGATCGTGCATAACAAAACAATTAAAATAGCTTTTAACTAGTTTCACATTTACTTTATGTCGCAAAAAACAGCATCAATGGCGAGTGGCGGCTCGCGGTGAAGCTACGCGCCGTTACCGAGACGACCGGAGAGGGCTGGACCAGCGCTATAGCGCGTTTCCATAGAGAGAGGAGACGAGGGTTGCGAAGAGGAGGAGTGGGTGGGCGCAGTGGTGTGCATCCGGGGGATAGGCCATCGTCGAGAATTTCGCAGAGATGGAGTTTCTGCAAAATCATCACGCGGTTAACACCTCCGAACCGCCGTACACCCTCGGCACAGGTGAGATCTGGGATCCTCCGTCACACGGCGGCGATCACAAAGATAATCACGAAGACGATCACGAAAGCGAAAACGCGGGTGACACAGTGTGAAATTTCCTGGAAATAGTTATATTTCTTAATCGATTACCCTAATAATAGTTTTAAAACTGTGAACAATGATAACTAATCTACATATTTATTTAGTCATTATCTATTTAATCATTACCAGATTCTAAAAACTTCAATTCAGTTCAATTTTATAAGAACAATCCAGTTCCAAAGTGCTCTAATAAAATAAATATTCTTCAATAATCAAGCATTACACAATTAAAGTAATGTGTCAATTTTTGCAAACTAATTATAATTATAATTTTTCAAACTTTGAGGGTGGAAAATTAGAAAGCCAATTTGTACAGTATTATTACTACATTTTATAATAATATAATGTTTTTTTTTTTAATTACTTCATTAACAACATCTATATAAGTATCAAAAAAAGTATCGCGAGTGCCGGCATATAGGATAGCTGCCAATATCAAGATTATTCCGATTAACTTTGATAAATCTTTCATTTTCAAGCCTTATTGTAGAATGAAGTTCGCTTGATGTATTCCTATATTGTGATAAAAGGATAATATATCGTAAAAAAGTATCAACATTTTTCTAATTTTAACATATGTTTATATTTATGTATTACAATGTTCTCAGTATATAATTTTATTGTTATACATATTTCACGTATAATGCACATTATGATATTCATATATTATTTATATTATAATTGTACGAATACGTTTTATTAACAATATATTGGATTAGACTACAAAATGTATGATATATTTGATGAACTTTCATACAATTTAAGTACTTTTTTAAAATGAATGTTATCCTTGAATGTTTCGAATATCTTAAGGATGTTTTACGTATAGCTATATGTAGTATAATTTTGTTTTCTTGATTAAACAGTGTACAGCTAGTCAGAAATTATTTATAAACAACATATGTTATCATTAGGGCAGAAAAACCGTAAAAATCGCAATTTTGTCCCATTTTTGTACTTGATATTGTTTAAATAAATCATTAAAAAATTAAAAAATATATATTAAAAAAAAAACTTAAAAAACCGTAATTGCAATTCTTGATGTCATAGAAGTGTACAATAAAAATTTCATTTATTTTTACTGTACAGGAGCAGAGATACATATTATAATATTTACATGAGAAGTATATCTATATATATTGCAATTTCTGTAACTTTTAAAACAAATATCTCAGAAACGGATTAGACAATCGATCGCAAATTTAACACAGATTTTTAGGATATATCAGTGCACAATCTCTGTACAGCGATATACATCCTGTAAGCGATATACAATCTCTGTAAGCGATATACATCCTGAAATCAGCAAAAATCATTCTTCGGTAATTGATCGATACGTTTTCTGAATTCTTAGGTTCCGTGGATAGTATCGAGGCGACTATCTCATCTAGCCTCTGTTCTGGATCACTAGGGGTGCTTTCGGGTGACGACGCTCTATCAACCGACAATCACAACGAGGAGGCAGCCGTCCTTGGCGCCGCTCTTCAAAGCACGCTGCGCTTGCAGGACCTGCAGAATTCGCCGACTGATATCGGCGCCGACCAGGGCCAGCAACTTCCAACTTCTGGTCAGGCCGTGAGTGAATTCGGCGGTAGCTTCTGGGTCGACGATATGGCAGGTTTCCCTCTACCCCCGCTGGACTTGGATCCCTTACCTCCAGGATTATTCAGCCCATGCTCAGGAACGTACAAGTTAGTTGACTGGTTCTTTTTTTCTTTCACTCCTCCTTTTTTTCAGTTTTATGTCTCGTCTATTTTTTATATATTATTTAAATTTCATGCTTAAAATGATGTACTTGAAAAACCGTATTGGATTTATATTTAGTTATATTTAATTAAATTTATGTATATAAATGAATTGTTGTAATCTTCATAATAAAAATTAATTTTAAAAATATACAGTTATGTACAAAATAATAGCACCGGCTGAAAAAATGAAGAAAATTCTAAATTTTAATAAAATTCCATTTTTTATTGTTATCTTTTTGTAATAATGAGATGAGATGTTTTATGTTTCTGTTAATTGATGTATATTTAATAAATAAGGAAATTATTTTTAAGTTGATTAATTTTAAATTTAGATTTTTCTTCGTTTTTTTAGCCGGTGCCATTATTTTGCACATAACTGTATCTAAACACACACACGCACGCACTACACACGCACATTTAGTTTTTCTCTCTCCTATATACAATTACGCTTTTATTGACCTGACGACAAGTTGACAATTCGACGAAACCCATAAAATTCAAGGCTTCTTCCAGCTGGGGCTGCTCACGGGGCGAATGCGTGCCAAGGACGAGCAACGGCGCGAACGGCGAGGGTGTTGCCGATGTTCTTTTATCCTTGAAACATGCGGTAGTGCATCCTGGAAGCCCGACGGCCAGCTATTACACCACTGGCACCAGCTCCGCCGCGGCTCATCATTACTCACAGGACTATGTGCAGAATCTGGGTCCGTCGGTTCCAGGCCCGGGTCACTACGGTTCTGCATCTGCCGCCATGTCCGTCAATGTGTCGATGAACATGACCATGAACATGAATATGCACTCCGGGTAAGGATTTTCTTTCTTCTTTTTCTTCTTCTCTCTCTTCTTATCCAAATCAGCCAAAGAAATGTTCGCTAATCCATTATTAACCCATTTTTGCTACTAATTTTGTCTCAATTATTATCTACTAATTTTGTAATATATGATTATATCACCCGGTAGAAAATTTTTCATATAATCTCTGTTCATATATGTACACAGAAAAAATAATTAAAAAAATAATTTTCGCATTTTTTGATAGACAGTAAAGTTTAAGGAAATAAAAAATTGCCTATATTATAATCATAATAATGTAATAATCGTATATAATATATAATTATATGTATAGAGAGTGTCGTAATCGCAATTTTACTTTTTATAAAAAACAGTGCAAAAGTTATTTTTCTAATTATTTTTTAATTATTTGTTTTAATATTTTCCTATATATACCGACAGAGATTATACAAGAGAAAGACATATCATCTATAAATAAACAATCTTATCTACTTATATAATAATTTTCCCCAAGTGTACTTTTTGACTTCGATTTGTTTCGTATCATTCTACAGGGTAAGGTAAATAATCATACATATTATTTACAGATCGATGTAAGTTTCAATGTTCATTCAAGAATGTTTGTTATATAGATAGTTGTTGTATATTTCATTTTTAACACAGTTTTTGTCTCTCCTGAAAACTTATTTATTGTTAAATAGGCGATATTCTTTATTTATTAGCGATATATTTTATATAAAATTACATTTATACCATGTTTTTGTATAAAAAAATGTTTACCGAGCAGATATTTCATTATTAAAAATATTTTAAAAAATAATTAGAAAAATTTTTCTCTTCTTAAAATTTTCATCCTTATATTGTAATATTATCTTTGAAACTATCTCAACCATCAATTACTTCTATAAAAACGTTCATCTCCCAACAATGGCCGCCATCTTGTTTTCTACATCTTCCCTGCAAAGTGCAGTTATTTGATCCTATCTCTGCTCTTCTGTTATACGTCTGTATCTCTATCTTTATCTTTGTGTATGTGTGTGTGTATGTTTTTAGATACGAACAAAGTTATTCGTCAGCATGGGGCGTGGAACCTCTTCTAAGTCCCGCCCCACAGTACGGCAATCCGGTGGAGGTGGCGGCGCAAACGACCGCGAGGGTGAATCAGGGCGCGCCGACCAATAGCGGTCTGATCGGTCATCCCTCCCACCCTCAGCCGCATCATAATGGTGGCCGGCTGCAGCTCGGGGGTGAACATGCGATCTGTGTAAATACCACGGGTCCAACTGCTGGCGGTATCATCCCCGAAGATAATGGCAGACCCAATATGTGTAGGATATGTGGCAAATCGTACGCCAGACCTAGTACTCTCAAAACTCACCTGCGCACCCACTCTGGAGAGAAGCCGTTCAGGTCGGTACATCCGAATGTAATGTCGATGGGAAGAGTGCAGAATTTGATGGATTTAAAAAAAGGACGAAAGGGAGACATTTATTTAGTTATTCCATTCCATTTTAATATATTTCATCTTTTAAAAGGAAGCTATAATATTCAAGTGATAGTAATAATACAGTATTGTATTAAAGAATATTATACATTTTTTTCTATTTTGAGAATAATCAAAATATTAAATTTGTTTTCATTAAAAAAAAAGTAAATTGTATCCTACAATTTTAACTATATAAAGTAATTTCTGGACAAGTGTTAAAAAAAAAGATTGCATATATATAGTCCTTGCATGAATCAAAACAATGCATCTGCTATCGCAAGTATTGAACGAAAGTTTGCTAATTATATACAGTTATTGTTAAATATTATTTATTTATAGTCTCAGTATTTTTTCCTAATGTCTATGAAAATTTATGGTAAAAATTTTTAAAAAAACATACTAAAACTATTCTATAAAATAAACTATTACATACTGTAACTATAAAATATTAATGATAATGATAATGATAATGATAATGATAATGATAATGATAAT